CACACACACACACACACACACACACACACACACACACACACGATCTCCATTATGTCATCAATTCATCAGTACAGGAGCTGAAACCTGGAGCTCCTCCAACTCCACTTCACTTGTTCCAAATAAGCTAATTACAGGGTATTACGCAACACCCCTAAAAAAAAAAAACTGCATGTGGGTTTTCAAAGGAAACTACCGAGCAGGTTTCTGTTTCTTTGCCAACCGTTTTACGATCAAAGAGGACGTAAATCTTCAGCTTAATGTGTTTTCACTGCTAAAGTCTGGGCCAAACGTTTGGTTTGTCATCGATCTGAGTTAGTATCTGTGGTGGTTCTTGGTGGTTTTGGGCTGTCTGGTTTAGAAAGAGGTGTTTGATTTAAACCCAAACACACACACACACACACACACACACACACACACAAAGCCGGTGAATGGAAAACCTGCTTCCCTGGACTCACACTGACTTTATAGCCTGGCATTAAAACATGGAGAGCCATCTCTTAGTTGTTTAATTCACAAAGAGGGGGTCACTTCTGGAACAGCCTCCCAACAAACATCAGGGAACGTCCCACTTTTTACACATTTAAAAAGCACCTTAAACTGTTTCTCAAAAGTTCCCAGTCATGCAATCACTCATTTTAATTTTGTGATGTCATCGTCTGAACGTGTGTCTGTGTGTTTTGACTGATCAGATGCGAACTAGCAACTATGCTAGAATCTGGCTCATTTACAATCTGTATGAGATTGTTCATTAATGTGCACTGTCCTGATTAAATAAATAAATAGATAAAATATATCTCCTCCTCCCTAGAGTTTTCTCAACTTTGTTCTTCTCTCTCCATCTCGATCAGCAGTATATTTTCTTCATCCACCAATCAATAAAAATAGCGGCAAAGATTACTGAGGTTTCCTTTGAGTTGAAGTGTATTTATTTTTCTTCGTGTGAAATAATTTTCAAAACATCGTAGCAGCAACCAACGTACATCGTGCCGCGTTCACTTAACAACGGAACTCAGAGACACAAAAAAAAAAAATCTATTTCCTGTAGCGTCCATATGAGTCGTGATAAAGTGCTTGCTTGATATGACACAAATATATCACGCACAAGTGGAGACACTACATGGCTGCATAATGGCTGAAAAGAACAATAATAAGATAACCAAAAATAATATTCACATGATTCAATTAAATTAAATTCTATTAATTTTTATTTATATAGCGCCACATCACAACAACAGTTGTCTCACAGCGCTTTCCAAACAGAGCAGGTCAGATGGACTCTGAAGTTATTTACAGAAACCCAACAATTCCCACCATGAGCAAGCACTAGGCGACACAGGGAAGGAAAAACCTCCTTTTAACAGGCAGAAACCTGGAGCAGAACCATGGCTCAGGGTGGGCGGCCATCTGCCTCGGCCGGTTGGGTGTGAGAGAAAGAGAGAGAGGGCAAGAGAGAGAGAGGATAGAGAGAGAGAGAGAAGGACAGAGCCTAAACAGCAACACGTAGACTAGATGTAAAATGGCAATGATATTAATGCTAATGATGATGGTAGAAGTTATGAGGGCAACAGAGCAGCAGGAAACTCCCAACCACAGATCCAGACTCCACATGAGAACACAACCCAACAGTTCTCCACTCAGATAAGCCACTTTTAGAAAGGGGGACATAAAAAAATAAGACGTTTTCCTGACCTGTGTGGGCGCGGCGTGGATGAGATTTCCCCCCAGACAGAACAAACAAAAGAGCGCGAGCGAGGTGGCGGCCGGCCCCATTTTCAGCAGCTTCCACTTTTCCGGATCTTTCCACTTTTTTCCCTCTTCTCTCCACTTTTTCTCCCTCTTCTCTCCTCTCCGGTTCTGCTGGAGCGACGGCAGGAATCTCCCATTAGATTCAGTCTGTGAACGGGAGGAGGTGCACACACACACACCCCCTTTTTTCCTTTTTTTTTTTTGCTTCAAAAGAAGAGGGGAAAACTAACTCAGGTATGGAGCAAAAGGAATCCAAACATCGCTTCCCACTGTCTCTCCTCTCTGTGTCTTCCCAACAACAGGAAACCGTGTTTATCCCCCCCCCCCACCACCTCCCATTTCCACTCTTTGTGGGACTCTGATGGGTCTCTGTCCGGTGGAAACACGTGTCTCCAGGAGCCAAACCTCCAGGCGTGGAAAAGAGAGAAAAAAAGACCCTCTTCAAAGCTTTTAGATGACCTGTTTCTAGACAGTTCACAGGCTGAAAACACTCCCAAAAAGTGGCTGATTCGGTTGTTATCGTTCCCTTTGGAGGATCATTTGATTTTACTGTTTATCAGAAGAGATGGAATCAAATATAACCTCTTTAATAACTTAGTCATTTCCATTTCAACTATGATGTGGGAGCACTTGGGGGGTGTGTGTTTGAGAGTCTGACTCACTGATTCAATGGAAAGTGGGATTAGGTCACTGTTGTAAGGATGAAAAAAGGGACTCTGGTGTAAGAATGAATGTTTAAAAGTCAGAAAAGACAAAAGTCTGGTAGTAATGAGGAGGTTTGGAAAGATCTGTTCATTTGACATTTTCACACAAGCGACCGGCCTCAAACAAAGAACCGCACGCGGAAATCGAGCAAGAATGAAGAGGTTAAAACAGAAAGAGGCAGGGTCAAATTTAAGATCAGATTAAATAAAGATTAAAGGCATTTTTCTTTATTTAATTCTGATTTTTCTATTACCTTTACTCAGTTTATGATTGCAGAAGAACAAAAGTACAACAGTTTTTAAAGTGGATGACAGGTGGATGGATGGATGGATGGATGGATGGATGGATGGATGGATGGATGACAGGTAGAGGGATGGATGGATGGATGGATGGATGAATGGATGGATGGATGGATGGATGGATGGATGGATAAATGGATAGATAAATGGATGGATGGATAAATGGATGGATGGATGGATAAATGGATGGATGGATAAATGGATGGATGGATATTTAGCTAAATATCCGGCCTGTTTGCTGGACTTTGCTTTCATAATTTAATAATTTAATCAACAGAAAATAGGTTTGAGAAGCTGTTCAGGAAGTGATGACTTAAAGAGAAAAGTGGAGCCTTATGTAAGCGTCCGTGTGTGTGTGTGTGTGTGTGTGTGTGTGTGTCTAAGTGTGTTTGGGGCTGTAACGAGAGGCATGCCAGTTAAAATGCCACAAAAATTTCCAGGGAAGCCACTCCGGCGGGGCTATTTCCAGACCTCGTTCTGGAAGCAAACTGGGCTACACTGGAAAAAAAGGAAGAAAAACATTTTTAGAATATCACCAGTAAAGTGGCCTGTTCTGATTTTGACACTTAAAAAAGAAAATTGAAAAGAAGTGTAAACAAAACCAAACAAAGTGTTTTATTAGGTGTGAAATTTTCATTTTTTTGGTGTCATGTATTTAATAACTATTCTTTGACATGGGATTGCTCACAAAACTAGGCTAAATATAAAAGGGAAGTACTTACAAAGCTTAAAAAGTGCATATCAAGAGAGAATAAAATGCAAAAACAACATGGTTGAAAGCTTTTTAACTTATTTTCTCTCTTAAAACTGGTCGTTTAAATGCCGTGTGGTTAACATGGACCAGCAGATCTACGATGTATTTAAAAATCCAAAGCTCGGCCTTTATAGTCAAAGGTCTGTGGACAGATTTTTGATAAAGAATAACACAGACTTTGGGGGCTTTTTCTGGCAGAATTGTAGAAAATCCTCAAAACAGCTTCTTAAAAATGCCTTTTGCCGTCTGTGTTCTTTTCCGTTTCAGTTTTAAAA